GCATTAGAACAAAGCATACATCTGTTCTATAACGCCAAAAAGGCTAACGATTAATTAGTACTCATAGCAGAACACGGTCCATAGATAAGCTGATATGTTACCGATAGCAATTTGTACTTACTGGCAAATGTTCAAGTAAGGGAGTTATACTTTCAGACACATATATTATATTTCCATCTGTCATAATTGCTAAAAAAAACCCATCAAGAGCCTGAAATTAAACATAATGAGCAGTTAAATAAAAATACAACTTGAGAAACACCAGAAACAGCTACAAAAGATCTCTAAAACCAGAAGCAACTACTTCACTAACTTGTTGGAAAAATATACAAATTTACCACAAAGGATTTTTTGAAAATTTTTAAAGTACAGAACACCAGAACATTTTACTTTTAAAATTTGTGCCTCAAAGTATGGAATGAAAATAAAAAATGCTTGTTAATTTACTATTTTTCATTTAAATATTATTACATTGTTTCACCCACAAGACACAAATAACACATCCTCCTTTCCAAGGAAATGATAGCTTATACTGAAACTTTATTTCTAGTAGTAATCCAACTATTCATGTAATCTTCTTTAGCAAAATAATGATCACACATCATTTTTGGAAAGCATAACAAGCAAATAAATTAAACATTTTATCGCTCGCAAGTTACATGATGTGTTGAGCCTTTTTTATAATTAAGATTTTAATTTATGCATAACAATTCTTTATTTGACTAGTACCTTCCTTATGTTGATAATTTAAAATACTCATTTTGACAGTAAGTATGTTCATTTGTGGACTTGCTCTATTATAATGTTTTATGTAATTGAAAATACAGTTAAAATAAAAACTCTTTTGCATTACACTGCACACATGGGAATTTTCACTGTTTACCTTCACGAAAACGTATAGTTACAATTAAAATATGAAAATAAAAAGTTATGTCATCAAACTGAAAAATTTCATCATGGAGTAAGTCCCTATGAGGAAATATTCTACTCCCACAAAAAGAAATAATATACCTCTAACATTAACTGTGTGAACTCTTCATTACTAAGGAATGTCGGTTTCCAGTCCTGTCGAATCTCACTGGCATCTGATTGTGCAGTAATTTCTACAATCAAACATATATACAGTATTAGGATTCACACTTCCAAAAGCCATTATTTTTATATTAAGTTACATATACACAGTAGGAAATAGCAGAAGGTTCTCCAGTCTCCTCTGTTGTTCATTCACTACCTACAGATGCTGTTCCTTAAAAAGAAAATAAATACCTGCTCCCCTACATCATAGTGAGATTTGTCTTCTCTTCCACCAGTTTGTGCTACAGACCTGCCAGACTTCATGATAATGCTGAAGTTAATGACAGTAAGTAATGGATTTTGACAATAGAAAATATTCTTTCCCTTAAGACTATAATAAAATGTTTTATTGAGAGTGTTGTTTTCAAAGATTTAGTAAGACAAAATTCCTCATCAGTTTAGGTCATTAAAACAACTAATCCTCAAAGTATCTTGGCCAATCCTGGTCATTCTAACTTTTGCATTAAAATTTGTTACTGTCCATTCTCTTCTTTCCACCCTTTTCTGTAAAGAAATAAGGTTACATCAAAAAAAGAGCAGGTTTGCAAGAAACTGTTAAGAGCTGTATATCAGACTCCACTGCAGAACTACTGTCGGATTCGCACACAGAGATGAATTTTGAACAGAGATTCCTGTAGGACTTAAGAGAAACATATAAATTAACTTCCCATACATAGGTGGGAGAAACAACAGCTGCTAAGCAAAACCAGACCCCAGGTTCCGAAAGCTGACGCTTCCTCATCAACTGATAACTGAAACAAGAAGAAGCAAGACCACGTAATACTTCAATTTTGATGAGTAACAGTGGCATTACAGACCTGATGGTCACCACTGCAAGTAAGCTCATCAGGGATATCAAGACCAGAGGTAGTCTGGGCTGTAGTGGTCATGAACTGGTGCAGTTCACTGCCCTAAGACGTGTAAGTCGTATGAGAAGCATTATCAAGACCCTGAATTTCAGGAAAGCCAACTCACAG